ACGTTTCGTGACTTTTCCCCATTTGCAGAGCTGGGATGGGCGTGGCCTGCATGTAACACACCCGGCACGCGGGCTACCAGTTTGATGCCGCTGGAATAGGGTATCCCATAGGTAGCTAGGAGTGGTTATATGGGAGCTGCTACTCTTTGCTCAAAGCATTTACTACCTGAGGTTGATTCACTGCTGTGTATCAGGAAAAACTATAACTATCATTGAAAAACTGGCCTTCAAAAAGGCACTTTTTAGCAGTTTGTAACTCAACAGAATAGGGAATAGGGAATTCACATTAGCAAGCACTTATCTTAGTATCAATGCTGACTTTGCATTTAGATTGGCTTTAGGACACCACTTCTTTCTTTCTGGCTTTAGAACATCACATTCTTAAGAAGAACTTTTATGCTTTTAAGTTTCCTTCTCTCTGTATTGATGATGGTTGATTCCACTTATCTACTGAGGTCATCACATCATCAAGCATTGTATGATCTGATTCCCCAAAGCTTAGATTGAAGGTAGTTGAATTAGTACTGGTAGTACATTCTTTACCTAGAATGCCTTAAATCATTCTATGTGGATTGGTAGGAGGGAATCTACAAATTAAAATGCAGTCAAAATTATAGAAAGAACTGGTAACCTCATTCACTACTTTCCCAACATATCCATATTTAAGGATACAATTGCAATAGGTTTCTACAATAGTCTAGTCTAGTGGAATTTGCTACTGCAGTGTGATGTATAAGGCCATCCATGGATATTGCTCATGACCACCAGAATGGCCTCTTACCAGCTGTGGGAAATATAGGAGTATCACTATTCTAATCGTCTTTCCAGAGGCATCTCCTTATGGGCCACCATGGGAATGGAATGTTGGACCAAAGAGGTTTTTAGATGTCCTTTTCATGTCTTCACATTTTCAATGTGTAATTCATTCTGTCAGTTGCACATATTTTATGTAATGGTATCCTGTTTTACAATTTTTGGGGGGGAGAAAAGGGGGGGTAGAAGCAGCTTCAAAATAGGCATATTTACTGCTCTCACATGGAAAACTTGTGTCTGCTGTGATAGATGTATGCATTATTATTTTTACATCTCCTCGGCACTGTAGTAATAGTGGAAATAAAAAGAAATGCACTCGTGTGATGATTTACCTGATTTATTTAATAGGCTGATTGGCCTGATCTATCAACTTTGCAATTTTCCTAATAACAACATACAAGACTGTAAAGTTTTTCTTCACCAGTGTGATCTAAGGATTAGGGTGTTGGGTTGAGGCCAGGCTTGTGTCTACTCCCAGCCACAGAAGGTCAATAGGTGACCTTGGCAGTCACTCCTTCAACACAACTGGCTCCAGACAATCATAGTGAACAAAGAAAATGGCTTAGGACCTGGATATTTACGGGACCACCTGCTGCCACCAGCAGCCTCTCACCGGCCAGTATGCTCTCAGAGAGGGGCTCCTCTAGGTGCCGTCGGCCAAACAGTGTTGACTGGTGGCCCCCAGGGGGAGAGCCTTCTCTGTGGGGGCACCTGCTATCTGGAATGAGCTCCCCCCAGAGATACGGAGGATCCCGGATCTACGTACCTTCTGCCGCGCCCTCAAGACTTTTTTATTTCAACAGGCCAGCCTGGCCTAACTTTTCCCCTTTTAACTTTTTAAATTATAATTTTTAAATTTGTCTTAAATATTGGGGGTGTTTTAATTTGTCCCGGGCCAAATTATCTAATGTGGTTTTAGATTGTCTTTTAAATTTTGTAATTTATGTTTTATTTTTGGCTGTTCACCACCCTGAGTCCTTCGGGAGCAGGGCGGTATATAAATTTGATAAAATAAAATAAATAAAAAGATGGATATGGACATGGCATGCATGCCTACAAGCCTCCTGAAGCTTCTGGAAGAATGGTGGGAGATGCCAACTTAACAATAAATTAATAAAATTAAATAAAAATAAATCAGCATTCTGTGTTCATCAGCAGCAACCAACCTGATGCATCCATCCTAGCATAATGTGCTAGGTATACCATCCAAAGAACATTATTTTATTTTCAGAAGCACAGAAACACTACACAGGAACAATTTACAGGTGGCAGCAAAAGGAGGCATACCCAGACTAGGCATTGATAAGTAAGATTATACAACAGTGGAACGAAATGATGATTTAAAAATAATTGTCCTGATTTGCTGGGAGAAAAGGAACGCTTTTTACACCTTGTTTCTTGGGATAGGAATTTCCACCTTGTAGATGTGGCCATTGCTAACTAAAGGCATATACAATTTAAGTACACTGAGCAACTGTAAAAGAGAGGCAAGATCAAAGAGCCTGGTTTAGCTCAACAGACAGAAGCACTGTAATTTAATACCAGCTGTTGAGATCGAATCTCACCAGGCTCAAGGTTGACTCAGCCTTCCATCCTTTCTAAGGTAGGGAAATTGAGGACCCAGTTTGTGGGGGCAATAAGATGACTTTGTATAAATATACAAAAGTATGAAGGCTATTGCTTAACGCATTGTAAGCCACCCTGAGTCTCCGGAGAAGGGCGGCATATAAATCAAATTAAAAAAAATAATAAAAAAGGGGGAGGGGAATGGGAGATAGGCTCCCAGGAATCAAATCACAAACCACTTAGCTCTTACAAGCACCTTGAACTGTATATGGAAATGCACTGGTAGTCAATCTGCTCTAGTTGATGAAATAAAACTTTTGCACAATCCCAGTATTTTTTTTTCCAGTCAAAAGTCTAGCAGCTCCATTTTGCGCTACAGTAATCACATCAGCAAGTGGTTTTCTGTAATTCAGTTGATGAATAATGCACATATGTGGAACCATGGCCAAGGCTGATCTAATCAGCATCAGACTCGTTCAGCATACCAACTGAAGCAGTGCAAAATAACCCCTGTACGTTTCCATCTTCATTACATCCAGTTTCCGTAGGTTTCAACTTGAACCCTGCAATTCTTTTGGTGATTGAAGTATCATTTGAATTTAAAACATACAGATTTGTCTAAGATCAAGATTTGTAGTGTGAATGTTTCTGCAAAAAGAACCCAAAGTAGGCCAGGTTTAATTAGCCCTGCCTACTTTATGTTTGAACATGCCCTTTCATATCCAAGGAGAAGATGCTTTAGATAGGAGGAACTATCTACTTGGAGGGATATATTACTTTGCAATCACCTATACTGGGCTATTGCTATTCATATTCACCGTGAATACCCTCTAACAGAAGAGTATATATTTGTGGGCAGTACATACATAATGGACAAGGCACAGCCTGAAATTAAGTACATGAAAGTCTAACCTATCAAGCTTTCTAACTATACACTCAGAAGCCTTAAGTTGTGAACTCTTGCCATAAATAGCAAAGCATCCTCCAGGAGCCAGTTCTGAAAGACCACAACTCATTTAAAAATTTTTCCAGACCACATGTTAATGTACAATAAATGAACATGTATTATTCACATATTTCACAATATTCAAAATTCTTCCAGCTGTCATCTTTAACAGCATTAATTTGATGTTAGGAAAGTATTACAGTTTTCTCATATTTGTGTGTCTGTGGCTATTACAAATTGTGTGAATCATGATTAGGTGAATGTCATGGGCTCCTACTGAATGGTACACAAAAAGAACAATGCGAACAATAAGCCGAAGCATCAAGGGTCATTTTTTTTCCCCTGCACTGGACTTATGAGTTTTCTCTTCTGGTGTTCCACAGGGCTCAGTTCCAGAAAAGTGTGCAAGATGGTGACCTTCAAGATATAAAAAGCTAAGTTAAAAGGACATGCCTCGACATCTTTTCTAAAAATAGAGTTTAGGACCAAACAAAGTTCCAGAGAGAATTTATTTCATAGCCTGGTAACTAACTCTTAATTTAGTAGGTTATAATTTGAGTTCCTTGAATAGATGGTGAACACATCTTTTAATTCATTTAAATTGATTTAATTTTCTTCACTCTTCTGTTTTTAGCTTTGCCTCCAAAGAATATAGGATTTATGGACCTCCAGATATTTTGGATGTAAACTCTTTCTAATCAGTGGGGCCAGTGCAGAAGGCCGTCTTATGTTACAGCACAATATTGTGTCCATTCATAGATATCTTCTCATGGGCGTCAGTTCTGCTTCTGAAAGAGTCTGTTCTGTACTAAAATAAAATACTATGTCCTTATGGCTGTTTGCTTCTATGTCTTTTTATACTTGTGGCAGAATTACTACTAATAGAAGAAAATATTTGTAGTTCAGGGTTGAACTGTGGGGCCTTGGTGTTCTTTAAGCTTGGTTGTTTTCTTGCAGATATTTCATGATCAAACATCCTCAGTGCCAGAGTTTGCAAGAAAACAAACAAACTCATAGATAATCAAGAACCCCACAGAGTTGCTACTGTTTGTGTAACATAAGGCATTGGAACCTTAACCAAATTCATTCAGAGTTTTAAAAGGCATCTCTGCAGAGAACCTCTGATTATGTTCCAGTCCAATATTATTAAAGGAAACTTCCCACTTTATCTATTGCTAGGAGTAGTATCTCATACGTTAAGAGTGAAGTTCAAAGTCATCCAAGTAGATTTTGGGTCACATAATAGAGCTGTTTCTTCTTTACCTTTATTTTATAGCCTTACTCTCAATTTCTCCGCAAAATCTATTCGAGATTTGGAAGGTTCTCCCAGAGGAGAAATTGATGAGAATGGAAAGATTGAAAACAAGGGAATTTACTCTCCGTGCTCTCAATGGATAATCCACGATCAAAATACCTCAATAGATTTCCCCTTTGGTGCTATAAGGATATTGTGACAAAATCTTGATGATTTTCCAATTTTTTTTAGTTGAAGTATACCAGTGCTGAAATGAATGTGTGATTAGGAGTACGAAAATCTTATAGTTGTCACGAGATCCTGATGGATGGCAGTGTAAGAGAAACATTACCAGCCACATTGTTTCTGAGTGTGATGGACTATGAAATAATAAAAAATTCTTAAGGATAGAGTAGCAGTGATGAAACAGTTAAACCATAATTCATTTGATAATGAGGTGGACTCATAATATATTTAAAATCCATACACAATATGTTTTCCTAAAATGCTTTTCTGTATTATTGAATAGTTAATCCACACAAATAAAAAATATCCCTTGATTGAACTGGCAACAAATCACATTCCAGTTTTAATAATATGCTACAAACTTTTTCTGTAGGATAAGGGGCATAGCTAGAAGGAAATGAATTTGTAATAAGATGGCACCAATTTGAATACCGCATGAATGATCAATTCAAGAAAAAAAAACTAGCAAGAGACACATTTGTAGGAATTGTGAGTGTTAATAATTTCCATGCAGATAAAAGATAAGAAAAGTTTCATTCCTTGGCTAGTAAAGTTATTTGCATACAATAAAGCCTGAAATAGATCATTAAGTAATTATGCACAATTAGTTTTATGCAATTTGTAATGCTCACAGTTCAAGACTAATACATTTCCAACATGGGCCATGTGTTTTAATATTATTATAACAGATCTGAAGTAGACAGCAGACTCCTGCAGGGTGAAAAACAGTCTTTGAAATGAAGTTGAAGAGAGAACAAAGAGCAATGCAAACTGATCTATAGCCTTACATATTCAGAAACCTGTGTTTCACTGCATAGGAGAAAAAGTTGATTATATCAGGTTTGTGATGCACTTTCCACTCTAGAAATATCTGGGCTCATTTATTTGCAAGTTAGTTTCTTTCCTATGAGGTGTTCTCTTTATTGTCAAGCAACTATATGCATGTGTATATATAGAGATATCCATCTTTTAGATTTCAGCTTTATTGCAGCAACAATTAGTAAAATGAAAAAAATAAGCATAAGAAAAATGATAGGTACGATTTAGCAGTTTTTAAACTGATAAATGTTTTAAGAAAACTAGAATCAAGGTCTGAATATTTTAAGTTATTACAATGAAACATATACAGTACTTGTACCCCAAATTGTATTAAAGAATTCATAATGTGAATTCTTGAAGCAATTTTTCCAAGTAGAAAGCTTTAATGAAAAATAAACTTACATTTAATCAAATCTTGTATCTGATTAAAAATAATGGCTGAATTTAATTTCAAGAAACAGTTGCAAGGCATTAAGGTAAATTGTTCACCCAAAAGTGCTTGTAAAAACACCTTTATTTCTAGTCAGGAAATCATGGGGGCTGTTTCAAGGCACTTGTGGAAAGGACCACGGACAGGCAGTCTGCGGCTTTGTTAGAATGTACCCTACAGGCAAAATCCTAATTACAAGTCAAGAAAGATTGCTTGTTTATCAAACTCACTTGATAATGAAAGGACAAAAGAGATGTGAGATAAACTGGGGAGACCCTTCAATAAAACCAGACGGATCTCAAGGACCAGAAATTAGGTACCAATTTTGAATTTAAAGGCACCCAGCAATTTGTAAAATTGTAGTCTCACAGTATATGTGTTCCACAGAGCACTTCAAACCCATGAAACAGTATAATCATATCTCCACAGAGCACTTATAAACCACAAAACAATATAATCATACCTAGGGGCCCTAAGGATCAACACAAATAAGCCAAACTGGAGCAAATGTACACAACTGTTGCAAAAGAAATAGTTATCTCTTGGCAACCAAGAAATAAAACAACAATATTGCTTGATTAATGATAACTATAATAATACATAAGTGTTCCCTGATTTTCTGAAATGATTCCATGAAGAGAAAAACACAAATATTAGGCTAAAAAAACATAAAAACTAATAATAAAATTACAACCCTTCACTTAGAGTTGAAAGCTACTGAAGAGTTCAAATAGGGCTGTTTTTCCACCTGACAAGAAACTTTGGATAATAGAGCTAATGTGAAAATAAAAGTGTTGCAATGCTTTAGTAACTAATTAATTAGTTTCATATTTATATACCAAAAAAAGGATTCCTGTTTAATTGGTCAGCAAAAAATCCAAACACCAACAAAAACAAAAAGAGTAATGCAATGCTGAGATACTGTCCCTATTACTGATGGCTAAAAATAGGATGTAGCAGATGTGGTCCTTCTGAAAGGATATCATCAGTATTTTCCTTGCAAGCAGTGGCAGGCAGAAAGCTACCAACCAGATGGAATTTTGTAGGCACTTCAAGGGAAGAGGATCAGCAGTTTTCCATGCAGGAGAATTTCACTAGTCTTTCACAACAAAAGTATGCAGGTGGAGGGCGAAGAAAAAAAAAAGATGGAGGAAAAGCTTTTGTGTCTTCTATTATAGCTTATATGGCTGACAGGGTCTGACTCCCTTCTGGATTGCTGGCTAAATGATCATTAATATATACATTTATAACAACTGCAGATGGAAAAAAAAATAAACTCAGTCAATCAAGCTTCTTTAAATGAGAGCCCTAACAATGCAGACAATATGTTAATGGTATAGAGAACTATGTTTTAACTAAAAGTACATACTTTTCTTCATCCTTGTTGCTACATTTTACTTGTTAAAACATAAGGTGGTTTTCACACTGGGCAAGTTTCATCCTATGTTATCAAAAAATAAATGTCTGTCTGTCTGTCTATCTTCTATGTCTATTTGTCTGAAATGAGGCTTAATTTTCTTATAATTCTATGGACTTTTCTGCATTTCATTCAATTCATTCAAACACAATATTCAGTTCTGAAAATTCAAAGTCAAAAATAACCTTGTGATCTTTCAGGATTTCTTTTATATTGACTGAATTGATGTTTGCCCCAGAGATGAATACTAACATTCAAATTAACTGAACCTGAGAACAGTTCTATATTTCAGGCTTGAATATAAAATCTTATAGTTTAAACACAAAAGAGGAAGTAATAGAAATAGTTGTCCATGTGGTTTGATACAAAGGAATAACAGCAAGAGCGATTATGGTATCTCACAGAAAAGAAAGAACATTGGTATCATATGTAAAGATTCTGTTGTATCTGGTTCTTTGCTGTACATGCATTCCATACATTTTTGTTTACAGAGAATTTTACATTTGAGAGTTCTTGATCTTTACAATTGACAGCATCAGAAGACCTAGAAGGTCTGAGAACACACATATCATCTTTAACCTGCTCACTTTTCTTAACCAACAGAGGATCAATTATGGGTTTCCAGTAATGTTTTCTTTAGAAGAATTAAAAGGGCAGGATTAGGCAAGCAGAAAGTTCCAGCTGCTAATGCTGCCATCTGTCACAAGGATGACAAAAAGGAGGTCTTTATCACTTTGATTGTTCCAGGAAAAGTGTGAAATGACTTTTGCATTATTACCAAGAAAATTCGGTGTCCATATCCATGAATAAGGCTACCACATCTGGGCTGCAAAACAGTCAACCGTAGAGGGCACAAAACATACAGAATCCTCTAGCTTGCTGCTGCCTTCTAACGGATGTCCAAATTTTTGCAGCTTAGATATGGTAGCCTAAGTATGCAGTCACTAGGAGTAAAGCTCAACTCAAAAAAGATTTTGCTTTTTTTTTTGCAAATAAAAAAGCATTTGTTTCCTAGATACTGAACATAACTAAAATAACAAATAGGCAGCAACTAGATCAACACCACTTAAAAAAGGATTTATAAGAGAATTTCTCTAACTATATTAATAATAATAATAATAATAAAATATGGTCTCAGTGTTCTATACCCTGAAAGCCACAAAGCTGTATTTATCGTATATCTATATTACTGACAAAAAGTAAAATTTAATGCAATGCTTTAAACTGTCAGTTCTTAAAGTGCCTTATTTTTAAATGGGACAAAAAAAAATACTGGTTGTATGTGGAAAAGTTCTTTTTAAAAAGCATCTATTTTTACATAGATTTTGGATGGTCTACAGCAAATATTATTTGCAGGGTTTTTTAAAAAAACTCCAGCACAACAACCAAAAAGCGAAGTTTTATAAGAAATGGGGGAAAGCAATTTTTTTCCAAAGGTTTTCTGCAACCAAAACTGTCCCACCTAAGGTCCCAAAGGTAATTCATTTGATCTCTGAAAGATATTTTACTGAGAAAAAACCCTTTGGACTCTCTTCTAGCCCTTTCAACCTGGCTGGGAAATAGGAGTATCTAATTAAACAAGTTCAACTTTGGCATTGGGATAAACAGCTACCACGTCGTATCCTTCTGGTGGTTTAACTCTTTCCTTGGCATGCGTCTCACAGTATAGTTGTTCCTCAATGAAGAAATAGCCCCTTTGCTTCAGGTTGAGGCCACAGTCGTCACACATGAAACATTCTGGATGGTAGAGCTTGTCACGGGCTTTTACTATTGTGCCACTGTTAGTGTGAAGGAGAGAAGATAAGATAAGAAAGTTAAATACTTAAAACCTTATTTCTTGCAGGTCAATGAGTTATTACATAAGCCTAAACATCTGTAGATATTCTCAATCATTCAGGTCATGGTTGTCCCAAAGGTGCTTTTTTTAGAAGGCAACTGGACTTTTTTGTTTTTTCTTTTGAAGACTCATATTCAAAAGATAAAGATAAGACTCATATTCAAAAGATAAAGTCTTCAAAAGAAAAAAGAAAAAAGTCCAGTTGACTCCTTGGGGCAACCATGACCTGGATGACTGAGAATCTCTACAGACTTTTAGCTATACAATTTGGGATGAACACCCTTTGAATGGTGTGGGAGTAGGAATGGATTTCCAGAAAAAAAAAAATTGCAGACTACAGGAACCATTTGCACTACTCAGGTGACCCTGAGGACACAGATGCTTCAAAGACCCTCTAAAACAGGGCTGTTAAACTCGTGGCCTGCGGGCCGGATGCGTCACACGCTGGCTACACGCACACCCAATTTAGTGAAGGAGAAAAAAGTCCCGATACGACATCACACGACACCATGACAATGTTAGTTTGACACCCCTGCTCTAAAAGAATGCAAATTACCAGCTGTCTGCAAGGAATATAAATCCTTCCATTCCCCACTATCCTGTCAGGGCTGAAGAAGCTTCTTGGATGAGAAGTGAAACAGCTTCAAAAGAAAAAACAAGAAAGTCCAGTTGTCTCCTAAAAAAGCACTTCGGGACAAGCCTAAACAGTTCTATTTTACCTAGGCACATCTCTGGCCCCCAAGACAAAGACTAACAGTTAATAAGACCTAATAGCCAGTCATCAACACCCCAATCTACATCTAAAACACTACACATAACAGGCACCATATAAATATCACACAGAGAACAGCCCAAAGCACACAGAGAAGTTCCCTGAGGATGGGCTACATCACAAATCTGAAAGCTTGGAAGACAAAACCTCTGGTCCCGGTGACCAGCCCAGACTGGATCCTGCAAAGACTAAGAGCTTTGCTTCCACCATTTGCAAAAGCCGAGGATGTGCAGCTGCTCCTTAATTCCATATTTCTGAGCTGACCGGATTCCAATGAAATCAGGGAATCCTCTTTTGCATGGAGTTCCATACAAATTTTGGAACAACACAGGTACTTTGGATCAAGAGACTAACATTCGTCAATGTTAAAGCTGCAATACATATTTAATTAACCTTCCTGTGAAAGAAGAAGTCCAGATGCCATCCTGCTCTTATAATTCCACCCAGCACATAAAGTAGTTTTATGGCCTATACATTACAATGAGAGTTTAAAATGAAACAGATGGCACTTTTATTCACTAGCTTTCCCAAACAGGATATAAACTATTAAGGCTCCTGGGGAGATTCATGTACTTACACAATGCCATTACCACATCTGGTGCACTCAGGGAGCATCTGCAAGCCAGACATGGCTCCACCCAGTTTAGGGACTGGAGATTTAATGTGTCTCGGACTGGTCACTTTGTCGTACTTTTCACCTGTCAACAAGGTAAGATAAAATTTCAGTATTATTGATTTAAGGCGTGTGGAATGTCCCAGATATGCAAACTTCTTTGTTTAAATACAGGTAGTCCCCTAGAACAGTTCATTTAGTGACCATTCAAAGTTACAATGGCACTGAATAAAGAAAGCTGGGACAAAAAAGCCGTATAGATGGAACACAGAAGACAGATGAAGTTGCCTAATTTAGAAAACATTCTGACTTTATAGATTTGGGGGGGGGGTTTATGATCTCTTGCTATGTAAAGGAAATCAAGCAAGGCAATAACACTGCTAAAGTGCACTTTTATAGCGTGCCAGATTTATTTATTTTACTGTATGTATGTCAGGACTCAGAGAGACCTTTAATAAAAGCAAGGACTCAGAGAGGCCTATAATAAAAGCAAGATAGCATGTTAGAAACTGGCTCTTTTTAAGGATTATATTATGAAAAAAAAACCTATGTAGTTTGAAATAACCAAAAAAAGAGGGAACTCAAGAAATCTTTATATACAAGATTGTATACATGTAATGCAGATATACAGATATGCAGATACCAATGTCCACATTCTGACTGCTCTGCTTTTTAAGCAGCCTATGCATGCTTCGAGACTTTGCTTGCTAACACTTATGTCAGTGTCTCCTTTCCCTGTTCTTTTTAATCCGGGGGGTGGGGTGGGGGGGTGGTTCCTGATTTTCTTTTCTTTTTCTTCTCCACTCACATCAATACTAAAATACAGAGACCTGCAATTAGAAGTGGAAAACTGTGGCAAAAGAAAGCAAAGATAGTACCAATAGTAATAAGCGCCTTGGGGCACAATTCCCAAACCACTGGAGCATCAGAAGAACAGTGTTGGCATTGATAAAATTACAGTCAGTCAATTACAAAAGGCAGCTTTACTTGGAACAGCTTATATTAATAAACTTGGATTCATTATATTAAAAAGAAGAGGAAGGTATATTGGAGATGTTTGCCACCTGGAGTTATTTGTAAAAATAATAAAGGCAAGATACAAATAAATAGATAAAATATCCTGTGATGAAACCTTTAGCACCATCAAACAACATCTGCCTATTCCAGGTCTTTGGGAAGGACTCAATAGGTGTATCAGGCCTGGAAGCCTTTTACATTGGGCCTTCAGGCCTGCCACATTTTCTATTGTGAAAAAATGGGAGGGGGGATTGTATGGAGTATGGGAGATGTATAGTCAAAATAACATTCTCTTCTCAGAGAGTCAAGGACGCCTTGCCCTGGCGCCTGGAGTTGGATGACTAGGAGGCATCTCCAGTTGGGATGGTGCTTTGATTGGACCATGTGATGGACATGTGGGTGTTGGGCAGGGACTTGAACTTTCCTTTGGGTGGGAAAAGCCTGGAAACTTTCAGATTCGGGTTTTCCCAGATGTGACAACATGACATCTCTAATAAAATGGAACTTTGAGGAATCTCGAGCCACGGAGAATTCTTTTGTTGAGGGTGTTACTTAGAACCCTGACACTGTGGATTGAAATGCCAAATCCAGCCCAAACATCTGGCTGACTGTGTGACCAACCATCATGATCAAGAATTATTGCACATTTGGTTTCTAAGACTGGCGTGTACCTTAAGGTATGCATAAGAGGAACGTTTGTGCTCCTTACCATTCTCTCCAGCTTCCAACATGCCTTGCAGATACCGGAAAGATCCTGACTGCTTAGGTTCTGAAATGGGCCTTTCATGATCTTGTAGCATTTTGTACACATCCGAGTCTGTGTCGATTCCATTTTTGTTCCTCGGGAGAGACCTTAGAGGATCAGCACTATTTGAATAGAAAATGAAGGTCAACCAATTGATGCCAACTGAAGAGGTACCAACCTAAATCCATTAAAGAAAAGGAGTCTTTCATGAGGAGTTTCTTTCACAATGTGTTCTAAAACTGTTTCATCAAATCATGAGCTTGATAACTGCAACTTTTGGCAAACAAATCCCATGTTTACTAATGAGGATTCAACCATTTGTTTCTGCTTTCTTGTTTCTGGAGTGATTGTTGGTCATGTACATGTGCAATCTATATATGCAAAGAATTGCCAATGAAAGAGCCCTTGAGTTCATTCTACTGGCTACTGAACCATATATTTAAGACTAACCAGTAAGTGCAGGACAGCTGCTGCAATTCATTGGATTACTGTGTTACACGTAGATCATTTAAAAAAAAATTGCATTAAATTAAATTACTGAAGGAATTGGAAATCCTCCCACCACTGAATAATATTTGGCACTGGAGGGTTTTTTGTTTGTTTGTTTGTTTGTTTGTTATTGCCAAACATTGTTTCAGGGATACTACTTAAAGAAAAGAAGCTTCACTCCTTATAAATTTTATTCCTTGTGAATTGGGTTGCATTTCATCTATAATACATTTGGAGAAAAAAATGTTTGATGTAATGTTTGATATAAATGGCAAACATATATGGCTAAGAAGTCAAAATTAATGGTCACTCATACCATCACACTGGGTCCTTTGGGGAGATCTGTTTTGCCACTCATAAATTTTAGAAGGAGTGGTGAAATAGAAAAAGCTCATTTCTGTTCAGGCTTATATAAATGGTGCATTCCGAAACTTTACATGCTACCATAAACCCCTGGAGAGATGCAACAGTGTCCTGGACTATATGAAGTCCCTGAAAAACGTGGACTGGGGTTGGAAATGACCGTCAAGGTTGGTTACTCTTGAAACTGCTGGATCATTTTGCTACCATTTTAGCCCAAATGGCTGAAATTCCTCTGAATTTTTTTTCATTTGTTTTTCTATTGATTTCACTTTTATCATCCCAAATGGATTTCCTATTTCTTGTTTATTTGCATCTGGAATCAGCAGAAATTATGGGTTCAAATTTGATAGATTTTAAACATCTAAAATATTTTTTAAACAAGCCACCTTTCATTTTAGAATTTAGAATTTCATTCTATTCAACGGTTAAAGGATATAACCGTGATTTGTTATTTTTCACATGATCCGTGTTTATAAAATCCAGCTAAGACATTATTTAAACGCAGTCTACAGTAATGTCCTTCAGAGGATAGAAATTATGCTTTCAGAAGAATGTATATTTAGCACCAAAGTAAGCTTGTACTTGGAAAATGCAGCATCTTAACTTAATATATGGCCAGCTCCAAACTTCTATTCTTTTGAATTTTTCTTATTCATACAATATACCACGCAGGTCATTTGATGCGTTGTATGGTTAATTCTAGCTAATGGCCCAGGGATGCTACTGCAGTATAAACCCAGATTTCTGAATTTAATCTAGTAGCCCAGACCAGTTTAAATCTCAGGTCTAAATATTCATGTGTTACAAAAATGTATCCTCATCCTATTTTTAACAATTCCTTATTTAAAACTATTATTTTGTAGCACTGCATATATATAATTTAAAGAAACAGTGTGGTGTGATAGTTAAGGCACCAGGCTAGAACCCTAGAGACTGAGTTCTTAGGCACAAAGCCAGTGGAATGACCTTGAGCCAGTCATTTATTCTTAGCCCTAGAAGGAAGGTAAAATGGCACACCATTTCTGAAAAAAACTTCCCAAGCAAACTGCAGAAACTTGTCCAGGTAGTTTCTGAGAATCGGCACAATTGAACTGGGGTGGTGGTGGGTGGTGGGGTGCTGGTGGTAATATAGCATTATACATGTTTTTTTTAAGATGGCTTTACAAATGGGAAAGTCTATGGTTATTTTCAATCATCCAGGTCTTTGTCCCAAAGATGCTCTTCAAAAAGTCCAAAACTGGACTTTCTTGGTTTTTCCTTGAAAACGTCTCACTTCTCATTCAAGAAACTTTTTCAATTCTCAGCTGCCTTTTGAAAAGCACCTTTGGGACAAATGGGAATGTTCTAACATGAATTTCATTTTTCTTTTGCCAATTTATCTTGAAAAAAATTTATTAGTCTGCTATTTTAACAACTGTGTACTAATAGATAAAGCTGTAATGCAAACACTGTTTTACCCATGGTCTGTTGAACAAGTTATAATTTATTGTCATGTGATATCATGTAAATCAGTCTAAAATCTATAACAAAGTGGGTTTGAGATAACTCCAAAACAGTTAATGTTATGAATCAATGTGATATGTGTCTTTTAATTAGGCTACTCTGCTACATTTTCAGCCATCACTAGGCAACAAAAAGATGGAGAAAATTCCTCTGTTTTGCTGCTATCTACTTGCCAACAGGATTTCTGGAGCATAAGTAGTGTAGTTTGATTTTTAGTAAAATAGTTGAAGAGTTGGTTGATTCATTTGGGTAAACAGTGCTAAAATTATTTTTCTCAAGTGTTTAAATCCATTTTAGGTGGTGGCAGGATACTCTTCGAACAGAAGCACATAATTGTTTTAGTGTGTGTGAAAGAGTGAAGATTTTTACTTGGAAAAAATGGTGCAACACCCCCCACCTCTCGACACTTACCTTTTTATACTGGGTGTGACCATGTTTGGACTAAAACATCCAGATGACCATCAAATGGATGTGAAAAGTGAGAGCTTTCTGTATCTCCCTACTGCCCTCTAGCAATTGCATTTTTGCAGCATGGATGCAGTAACCCTATTTCATTAATTCAATTCAGGCATTTCTAAAAGCAATTCAATTGATATGTATACTTTTTACTCCATACCTTTGGGGAGTTGTGATATGGAAACCACTCATCTGTGAGGGTAAACTAGAATCTGGACTGTTGTTTACATATAGACGTGAAGGATTATTGTATTGCAAATTTAAGGCCTGCTTGTTGTCTGTTGGACTTCCTCCAGGTGAAAAGGCCATGGGTCTCCTGTTTGGAACAGGTCCGTTATCCTAAACAAAAGAAGAAATCATGATAAATTGCCCTTGTCCGTAATAAACTACCACTTTCAGTAAATGGAGACCCATTAGGTGGTCCACCAACTGCAAACAATATTTATTTAATAGTAATGGAGCCTGTAAATTGGGGAATAAGAATCAGCAAAGAGGATCTGTTTGAAGAGGAAGAAAATATCTGTATTTCACATGTGTAAGACACCTGTTGTACAATGTCTGTGTTTTAATTTGTGTTGTATCTAAGTTAATTGAAATACATATTCAAGTTAGATCTAGCTTTGAGGAAATGTTTTGATCCTAGACAAATAAGAGATAAACATATGGATGAGCAGATGTAAACATGCCAGTTTAATGTCTGTAAAAACAATAGTGTTATTGTTTTTTAAGATCTGTAATCTATTCATATGAAGTCAAGGGGAACCTGACTAGGAAACAGTCCTTCTACATTATAGTTTAAAATTATGGAAATACAATTAATTCACACTCCTTCTCAGTCAGGAAGACTTTTAAAACTATCTCTTTAAACTGCTGTTTGAATCTTAGGATGATTGCCACTTTCTATTTATTATTATATAGTAAAATCCATCAATTATTTTATTATTTTAACAGTTATTCTGTTTTTTAAAAAAATGCTCTTGTATCTAATCCAAAATCTGTGAAATTGGGACTTAAAAAACTGCTGTAAAGTGAAATAAAAAAGTAACTATCAAGATATTCTTTTATCAAAGATTCTTTTATCATATTATTAACAAAAAATATGCCAAAGAAAGAATGCACAGTGCTACAGTCATTTGGAGTTTTATTTTTAGAACAAACATGTACGAGTTTGGTTTTACAAAATAGAATGTCTAGTCGTTTGTTTACATACGCAATCAACAGTGGCTGGCATTAAAAGGTGTTGCCTACCCAGAATTTCCTAAAATTTCCCTCCTCTTCTTCCCCTTCTCCTTTGCTATCTGTTCTCATAACCATGCTAGCCATGAACGCAAAAGGAATAATGCGAAAAAGCAGAAGCCATTATCCACCTAGCCCATTTACCCTGGAGAGTCCTAGAAACTGGACCTGGGGGAAATTCCCAGTGTAAATAATTGCAGTAAAATTAATCCTACTTGGAGGAAAGAAATAGAGAAATGAGCAAGAAAAACAGCAGTGAACTGGAGAGGATGAAAGAAGTATACTAAGAACTGTAAGCAGTTTATATAAATCAGCTCTTGGAAATAAACTTAATTTATTATTCTTTAACTAAAGGTTCCAGGCAACTTAATAAAGCACAAACAACATCAGCAAGTAGATGATACTGTAAATAAGATGCCATTCATGTAGTTTGGTGGTGGTTAAAGCCAGGTTACAAACCAGGAGACTATGAATTCCAGTCTTGTTTTAGGCATGAAAATGGCTAAGTAACCTTGGGCCAGCCACTCTTTCACAATTTACCCCCCAGGATTGTTGTGGGAAAAATAGGATGAAGAAGTAGTATTAAATATGTTGGCTGCCTTGAGTTATTTGTAAAAATAATAAAGTTGGGATTAAAAATCTAGTTATCTATCTATCTATCTATCTATCTATCTATCTATCTATCTATCTATCTATCTCCCACTTCATAAATCTGTTAATATTTATTTGCTAAGTCCATGTTATAGCTTCGCTCACATTCCTCAACTAATGCGAGTTTTCCATGCCTCTTTAATACAATGTGAAAAAAAAGGTAGGGATGAATCATTGATATCTCTTTCTGAATCCTAACGATAGCCCTCATTTTTTTTTACTTAAATGTAACTAATTTTTGTTTTAAAGTACCTGAAACTCACATAAGACTTCTATAAACCTTCCCTACAAAACAAAACCAATTCTAAACCTGCACTGATTTATTCTTTCAGCAGTAATAATTAGGTCATGATATTAGGTCTTTCTGATATTTCTGATATTTTATTAAGACAATACCTGTTTTTTTTTTCTCTTCTTGAGAAAAAGGGTGGTACTGCTTTAAAAATCAGAACAACCTTTGAAAGTGCTAATGACCTAATTTAAGCAATTTTGAAGAGCAGCAGAAAGTAGTGACACTCATGTAGAGGCAAAAGCCCAGTCATACAATAATTACAATCTCCATGCTTAGAGACTGCAATTTTATGATATGCATAAGCAGTGTAAATATTTTTCTAAAATTTTCTGCAAATACTTTATGTTTTGCAGTTTTTTAAACATGTACCTATAAATGAATGCTACTCTTAAAATCAACTGGTTTTTCTTTTCCATAAGAAGGATTTCTCTAGAACATGCGTTTGTGCTAGAATTGTTTAGAATTACAAGCCCTGATTAACTATGGATTCCTTACTTCTCATTTATTTCTTCCTGACTTCTGGGAATGGATGCTGATTATGACAGTAAATGGCATCAAGCCAGTGTGCCTTTCCAACCCCTCAGCTGGTGCCCGACTATTTCTCTGCACTGCCCTACTCATGTACAGGAAAAGGAACTAGGAGGGGAACAAACAGTGTCTACACAATCAGGAACGCAGCCAGCTTTTTCTGGTAACTCCTTGTACCTAGAAAATGCTTCTGTGGACCTGTCACTCAGGCAGTTCTACTGAAATTGATTGGGCCATGGTTTGTTCTTTCCCGTTAATGAGAAAGCAGAGATGGGATGGTTTGATTTGACCATCAAATACCAAATTATTTCTGGAAGCATGGTCTGCTTCTTATGCCAAAGGCCTACAAAGCCAGAATCAAGAAGACAGCAACAAATAGCAAATTCCACTCTGCAAAGAAACTGAAGAAATAGTGGACCACCTAGTTAGCGGCTGCCAGAAGATTGCACAAATGGACTACAAATGACAGCACATCAAAGTAGCAACAAGGGTGCATTGAAATATCTGCAACAAATAACATTTGCCTTCAAGCAAGAATTGGTGAGATCACAGAATAGAGAAACTCATAGAAAATGAAGAAGCTAAAGTGCTCTGGGATTCTACAATTCAAACAGAGAAGCACCTGACACATAACACTCCACATTTAACAATTATTGAGAACAAAAAAAGTCTGCATAATAGATATGTCAGTGCCTGGAGACAGCAGAAGAGAAGAGAAAGAACCTGGAGAAAAACCACAAAATATAAAGATCCACAAATAGAAATAAAATGACTATGGCAAAAGAAAGAAAAAGATACTACCAATTATAATAGGCTTCTTGGGTGCAATCTCAAAATACTAAGAGCATCATTTCAACATCATTGGCATTGACAAAATTGCCACCAGTCAATTGCAAAAGGCAACTTTGGAATACCATATACCCTGTGATGGTATCTTTAGCAGCATCACATAAAAGCACCTGCCTATCTCAGGTCCTTGGCAAGGACTTGATAGGTGGATAAAAAACTTTTTTCAGTGTCATTATAACTTCGAATGATTGCTACGGTTCTAAGTAGAGGACTATACCACTAGCAAAATTTATCACATATATTTGACATCCCCCATCAATATGTTAAGGTTGCAGGGGGAGAAGAAGAATCAGGATAAGGGCACGTATCCAGCCTCCTCTCCATAGGATTTTTCTTCCTCTCATTGTACAGAAGTCAGGGTGAGACTGTAGTGGGCATTTCTCATTTTCTCTGTATCTGTTTTTTTTTTCTTCCTGAAGTCTAAACAAAGCTAAGGTGAGAAGTGAAAGATATGAAAGTAAATAAGCTCATTACTTGTTTTAAACAACTGCTGTCAGAAATCATAGAGAGGGACATACAGTTTGACTATTTGTCTTTTGGCCTTAGAGCTATCGTTTTCCAGATTTTTAGTTTTTGCTACTTTAATTAGAAATAGCACATTTTCAAATGTTAAACACACTTTTTAATTTTCCTGACTTTATTGCTCTGTTACACTGAAGGGGAACAGGAATGGTAAGCTGGAAATATGTTGCTTTGGCTAAATGCAAAGTTTTCCTATCCTAAATTAGCACAAGAGAAAATAAATACTTAAAATGTTCAAAACAAGCATATGGCAATATGTATAAGAAAATATGAGATTATATTTGATACAGCTCATTTTGGTTTTACTTAATATTATAAATTCGGTATACAGATTTATTCTCTCTGAAAAGAAACTTTTTGATTTGTTACCATACTTCCTGCTGAGTCATGTCAACTAGCACACAGGGCCTTTTATAACTATAATAGTTTTGCCAGATTCTTAGTTTCTGAAAAGTGATTTAATGTTTCTGAAGTGCACAACCCAATTCAGCATCGTTTATTTCAGCCTTTTCTCCTACTGACACAAATATGGAACTTTTGGTGAGTCCTGATAAAGCGGGGGGGGGGATTCATGTAAATTTAGCTGCTGTGTAATTTTAAAATATATATATATTTAAGCATACATTTTAACTAGTTCATGAGAACTAGTTAAAACTGCAGCTATCATTTTAAACAAAATGATAGGGCTAACCACTCTTAAAAGTAGAGAGATTTTAATGGATTTTCTAAGAGAAGGAAATCCATGTTGACAGGATTCACAAAAATTCCAATTCTAATTCCAAATTGTGATCGGAGCAGAAGAAAATCTAAAAGGCCAAAAAAGTTGAAAAACACTCCTTTATCATTTTTTCCTACTGTTTTGGAAATTCTATTTTTGTCATTGTTGAAAATTACATTTTCCAGCATTATTGCATGTCAGAAAAGTTAAGAGTTTTCTTGTTTGTATCAATCAAAATAATTCTTGCAATTTAAACAAACCCTTTTATCAAGCATAGCATTACTTCTCCAACTTTCTACAAATCAGCAAATGTTGGATTGAGAATAGCTCTTTTCCAAAGTAGTCACAATATGCAGATGGCATGTCAGAGACCATGGTGTTCCTATGATTCATCTTTCCATGAGGAAGAGCCATTCAAGAACCAGTGATGAAGCAGGATTATGTCCCACTGTCCCTGATTCAGTGGCAGGTTGCTATCGGTTTACACCGGCTCGGGCGAACCGGTAGCGGCGGTGGTGGGAGGCTCCGCCTAACCGCACGGAT